TAAGAAAAAGTATTGAAACTTATTAATAATAGTGTTAATTAATTTAAAACAGTTAATTAACAAAATACTGCTTGTATAATTATTTACGGAGGAACATTTTTATGTTTATAAAACCATGTTTCACGTCTTATGAATTGTGATTTCCGAACGCGACATTCTTAAGATAAACATATGACTTCGCGCTTCATGTTGTTTTAATAGTTTTTTATTATAGATTGGTTTTAGTTAATTTTTGCTGAATTTAATAATGATGTCGTCAAGAACTAGCCACACAGTTTACAATAATAGTAGATTTCATGTAAACGTAAGTAACTATATTAAAACATGAGTTTGGATTATTTTTCAGTCTGTGTATTCATTGTCTATTGATATTGATTCATTCTTTAAGCAAAGATTATTGTTTATTTCTAGGGAATGGTGATTAATAGAAAGCACAGAATTAGTGCACGGACTACAGTGGTGTATTCAAAAGTACGAAGAGCTACGTAATTTGCTCCACAGCCAAGGAATCGAAGTCTCACAGAGAAAAAAAAGTAGCGAAAAGTAAGTTCTAGTTTCATTGTTCTAAAACCTTCAATACAAATCAAGAGCGCTTAGATAAAGTTTTTATTAATTGCATAGTTCATTTCATGAATTTTGAGTTCACTGTCGTTTTATTTGGTTTGCTTATGGATTGTGGAGTGATTTAAATAAAGAAGTGGCCAAAAATGAATAAAGCTGCTCATAGCACTCATTAAAAATATTTCTCACATACCAAGAGAACAGGGTGCTTTAACATAAATAGAACTTTAGTAGAAATCAACTGACAAACTTTCACTTTAACATGATAATATAATGACTACACTTTCTCAATAAAAATATAAAATTCAGAAAAAAAAAATATGTATATTTGAATATAAATAACTTCAGTGTAAGACTAATAACTTATTATTTTACAGCCTATGTGGTTACTGGTTACCTATACAAAATTAATAAAACAGTGATACCTGCAGAGCTACATACAGATTTAATGATTATACCACCTGAAATTCCTGCTATTGGTATGTCTTCAACTACACATGATGTAAGTACCTACATTTTACTTAAATAAAATTAATAATAATAATTTCATAATTTAAGTATTAGTTGTGTGTTAGCATGTTAACTGTTTATTTGAAATTAAGATTAAAAAAAATTAATAAATAATAAGAATTACTTAAAATTCAAGTTATTCATTATATCTTTTAACCTTTAAATATTTTCAACGATACAATAAGGAAATAACTATGAAAGAAATATGAAAAATTATGTAAAAAGTTTAAGTTTTTCAATCGATCTTTTTCAGATGATGAAGACTAAAAACACTCCTGGCTGCAGCAAGGATCCAGTACTTATCTCCAACCAATCCTAGATTCCTGACGCAACCTACATCCCTAACACCTCCCAGATCCCAGCAGCACTAAAATCTACTACACTGAAGAAATCTCCAACTGTTCTCAATAGGCAACCCACTTCCATTTTCGCGCCGTCAACCCAAAAAAACATTCAGATCATTAGAATAATGTTATTTTTAAGTTAGAAGAACACAGAACGATAATAAGCAAACAAAGGATGTTTGTAGAATTAGAACAAGAGAGGATTCGACAGAGAAGACGTTGAGCTTCGTCAACATGATACTGAGCTGCAGTTTCGAGCCGTGTGATAACATATATTATAATAATCTGTACTTTTTTATTGTCCATGTTTTAAATAAAATGTCTCCTTGAAATTGTTGAAGTACTTTTTTTATTAGAATTTAATATTAATACATAGGAAATAGTTTAGTAGCGACTATCTCATTCCCAGGGGTTATTGTCATCCATAAATTTCTTAATACATATTATATTCATACGTGGTACAGCCATGCTGCAGTTATATTAGATGTATAGTTGTAGCACGAATGGGTCGGCTAGATCGGGGAAGGACCACGCTCTCACATAATACCAGCGTGAAATGGTAGCTTAATGCTGCTGTGTTTCGTATAGTGAGTGTAGAAAACCGGAGATCCTTTTTACTGGAAACAAGGCATTACATCTTAGTCCTCAGGGGTGAAAACGCATCTGCATTTTGATTTGTAATCGAGGATAGATGTAGACGTCTAGGGGCCGTAGCAACAACTTACCATCAGGTGGACTGTGTGCTCGTTTGTCACCCTACCCTATAAAAAACATTTTTAAATTTAATATTCGCTTAATATTTTTTGAACTTGACAGTGGACTATATAGATTATAACATACAGCGGGCACACTTGGCAGGTGGGTTGTCAAACGCGGTTTTTTAATTTTTTTATTGTTATTGAGAGGAGGCTGCTGCCCATCTCGAGTAGGGTAGTGGACATTCTTTTACCGTTAAACTTACAACTTGCACTTTAAATAATGAAAATACTTTCGGCAATAAAATAAATGGTCAATCTCTTTTTCAGGAATAGTTTATTTGTTAAACATAGGTAGGTTTAAACATTTAAAGTCTTGCGTTACAATTATTAGTACGCTATGTTTTGTCTGAAAGACATACAAATATAATGATGTGTTCTTATGAGAATCATGCTATAAAAATAAGATAGAATAAAAATTAATGAAATTGCTACATTGATAAAATTAAATAGATGACAATAACAAAATAATATCATTAGTCAATATAATTGGTCAAAATTATCATTTAAGAACTCGTCAATTTCATAATAACATTTGTCTATATTCATTACTTAAGCACTTTTAAATTTAAATAAGTTCATATTTTTTATTGTATCAGGTAGTTTATTATAAATTCGTGGGGCAATAACAAAAAAGCTTTTTTTCATTAGTAATGTTTCACATTTTATGTAACATAACTTATTAACGTATTGGGTGCGTATTGGATTCTTTCTAATTATATTTGTGGTGAAATAATATGCGGAAATGTGATCCATCAATACAACCAATAACACCCGTTATCTTGTATGTTTTAAGAAATCTGTAGAAAGTCACAAAAACACTAGTTATACTAAAACCGCCACAGTAGGATTTATCCAGTGTCATGAAGGCAGTAATTACTTGTAGGCCATACAAATACTTGTTCCGTGCAGGATTCGAAACCGCGGCCTCCTGCGCTACAATTCCTTGCTAAGCCACTACACCACGGAGCCGTCAAAAATTAGACTAGAGAAATCAACACAGCTAAAAATAAGTATGTAAGTACTTTACATTGACGACGTCTCTCTCAGCCCTTGAAGTGGGCAACCTGATAAAGGTATTGGTTATTATTTATTGACTGTTAAGTGCCTCCGTAACTTGAGAGACACATTGGATAACACTTTTTTGGTTCAAGTTATTACCCATACCGACTAAACGTTGATAATAGCTTGTTGTATAAAATAATAAAGCATAAATAAACAAAAACAGCAGGTCCTTTAATTTTGTACATTATTTTTATACCTTAAGCTATAAGCTTATCGTTTTACTCTCTCTGAAGTTTTCAGAGCAAAATTAACGGCAGAGTAATTTAAATGCATTTTTACTTAATCTGTATCTTTTTTTAAATTCCAATTCAGAATTATCCGGAGGGTCTTACGTTTGCCGAATAAAAATTCGTTGAGGTATATCACTGGAACGATTTATATATATTTAATTGAAACAGCTATCAAAATCTAATGATTATTAATCAAATAAATAGTTAAAATAAGGGTACATATATATGTAATATACCAATTAGTAATACTTTAAATAGTAAATTTTGCGTACCTTAATTCTCATCTTTGCTTTCTTGCCTCGACTGCCAAATGCCACACAAAATAATAAAAAGTCGTAGATCGCATTCTACTTGTTGTTAATAAAAATATTTTAAACTTAAATCAACGAAAACCCCAGGAAAACTTAAAACTAATACTTCTCGATAGCGTTCTCACCGTAAAAATGTCGGTGAGAAAGATTTCGTAGATCTCTACAGTGTATAGACGATAACGTACGTCAAAAAAAGATTCGTGCTACCGATTCCCATACATTTTGTGTCTTACTATACGTTAAACTATACGAAAGCGATACGTAACGTAGCGTTAGATGTTCGTGCTTCTGAATTTTAGTTCCAAATACGCCCACGGAGCGCTGTTCAAATTCCCATACAAAATTTAACTGAAACTAAACTGTGGCGTAAACTATACGATAGATCAAAATGTTCGTGCTAGGGGTACAGTTATTGTACCGTTATTATTTACCGGAATGTAAAATGTACCTACATCTTGGGATGTATACTTCTATGGCGGTTTTAAGCCCATGTTTAGACCATTCAATGGTCTAAGTGCCTATGCTTATTTATTTAATAACACGATAGTGTCAATTAAGATTTTTTTTAAATTTCCCATTTAGTGGATTTTAATAATTGGACGCGTTTGTGTTTAGTACCTTCACATTTTATGGAAGTTTAAATATATTTCATTATTTATATTCGTAAAGCAGTGAATGCGTAGTTGCGTGGTACGACGGATGCCAGAAGCCAGAATTGTGTATGTGTGTGTGAAACTGAAATGCACTGTTTGCGACCCGAGCCGATGTTAACCGAACGTGAATCGATGTCACCCGAAGTCGTTGGGTTGCCCGTCCCCTACCAACGTCCCCAACCTACGATTATCTCGCTTTCGCCGAGTTTCAAGTTTCGGACCAACCATTCATTCAACAGTACACGTTGTCATTTAACAGAACTGCTCATTCCTCTCAACTCCGATAGGAGTAATAGTGTTCTGTGATTCCTCTGCTCTGCGTTCAATAAAACAATACAAAGACAATATTTTGAGCTTCCGCCGAGGTTTATTTTGAAATTAAAATGAGCAAGATACGGTCCGGTGTTAAATAGTTACGCAGTGGAAATTTTGTAGAATCGCCTAAATCGCCGCGAACTAAGACTTACAAAACTGTATAGTTTCAGTGTGTTATTCCCAGTGAGATGTTGGGGAAGAGTTTTGGTTGACAGACTGACTCTTTCCGTCTCTTCGGACTTATTGCGAATGTGTATTGAAACGTTTATCGCTATCCACGGGCGCACTGCTATGCGCCACGACTTGGTGCATTTTATTCGACACACATCCTCTGATCATTACTGCGAAGGAAGACTTTAGTTGTTCAAGCAGGTGAGAGCGAATTTACCATCACATCCCACTTGTATAATTACATAAACTACCTTCTGTCAAAATAAAATTAATTGTCGATTCCGTTTAGTATTTCCACATATAAATAGCTAAAATCATTAGCTAGGTATCATTATACTTAACTTCAGATTGTAATGCATATTCACATTAATCAAGAGCATAAATATTGTTCGAAAACGCAAAAAAGAAAGTGTTTAGGTAATGTAAATACCGTAGTATAACGTTTTATTTGATTAAGCAATTCATACCAGCTTAAGTTACAACAGAATAAGTTAACGCAGACCCTACGCGTGTTTTGTATCGTACAATACCTATACAAATAAAATGCTAACTCTAAATAAATAATTTGAAGCTCTCCGAAAAAATATAACACACTTAATAAGTTTATTTTAAACCGCTACGTTGCTGTATTGATATTCATCAGGTGTGCATTGTATAGTAACTTTACTGATTACGTTTGCAGTTCTTTCAGAAGCATTATGTTTCTATTGCAAACAACATATTGTCACCAAATTTTGCTTTAATCGTTTCCATTATCTATACTTGTATATTTGTAATTAGTATTTACTAAAGTGACAAAGTTAGAGGCAACAAAACATAATTTTGATGTAGCGTTCGATCCGGTTCTACACCCGTCCGACCAGATTTTAATTACCTACCTGTACCTACGTTTAGAAAGTTAATGAAGCGAATTGTATACCCAGGAATAGGTAATAATCTTTCATCACCGATCAACAATTCAGGGATTACATATAATAAGTTCCTGAGATCTAACGTAAATGACATAAGCTTTCATAGGAACGGGAAATTTTTGTAAAAAATTATTTTGTTTCACAAATTACATAGGTATGTTAATGTTTTATCAGTACAACTGTGCAGAAACCGCAATACTGATAGCAAATTCAAAAAAAATCTTTGCTTCATTTCTAGTACTTAATAAGTCGTTAATTTCTGTTTATTTAAGTGTAAGTACCTAGGTCAAAACATACCTAGGTCATCTACATTTTGAATTTATCATCGTTACAAACATTAGGTCTGCTGTGGTTTTAAGCAATAGCGGATTAGTCTATAAGCAAAGCCAGCGAAGTTCTTCCATTTTTTGAATTTTTTTCCAGCTAATGAAGGATAAATAAAAAAATAGTATAAGTGTTTGAGTATATTTAATAATATCAAATAAAATAAAATAATAAATTTTTATACGTGGTAGAGCTATGCTGCAATTATATTAAGTAGTATAGTTGTAGCACGAATAGGTCGGCTCGACCGGGGAAGGACCACGCTCTCACAGAATACCAGCGTGAAATAGCGGTTTAACGCTGCTGTGTTTCGTATGGTGAGTGTAGAGACCGCAAAACCTTTTTTACTGGAAAAGAGGCATTCCATCTTAGTACTCACGGGTGACAACGCATCTGCATTTTGATTCGTAATCGAGGATAGATGTAGATGTCTATGGGCCGCAGCAACTACTTACCATCAGGTGGATTGTGTGCTCGTTTGTCACTAAATACTATAACTATAGTATAAAAAATAGTCTATTCCATTAACATACACCATACAAATAAACTTACATACGTAAATTCAGAGAAAATAGTATATAATAAAAATGATGCGAATAGAGATAGGTACGTACCTAGATTGTAAGTACCTAACATCTGGAGAATGGAAAATGGATTTTTATATATCGCGGGTAAGTGAAACTATATGCAGAAAGAAACAGAGGATTCGAGTGTTCCTGCAATAGCCAATTGGGAGCCATTAAGCTGCTTGCGATAAAAAGAGACTTGATCGAACTTTTTGAGCCAAAGATGCATTGAATATATAAATTTTGCAAGTGCTAAAGCTTATTGGATTTTTCCTTTGTAGCATTCAAGTAACTGACTTCAACTTAATCAAATATTGGCAAGATAAAAATCTGGACAAGAAAAAATTACTATCTCAAGATGTAATGCCTAAATACCGATTTAGAAACCAGAGCGCAACACCTATGTTTCAATGTTATTCATTCTTAGATTTTCTTCTCACAAGTTCATCTCAATCTTAGATTTATGCATAAATTTACTTTCAACAAACATACAATGAATGTAGTAGTAATAAGCAGCATTCTGTAATGTATGATCCATATGGACTTTAGAGCATCAAATGGTCTCTTGAATGGTCTTCGCGCGATGAAAAAGTCAATCTCAGATTACCTATTGGTAACCTTTTAAATCTATATGGACGTATTCATAATACTGGTTTTCAATAAAAAAAACAAACGAAATAAGTTTTGGTGTTCATTACTATTCTAAAATAGATTATCTAATCAAATTATGCATCATTCGGACGATGCCTCGGACGTTCCAAACGACCGGACTGTGTAAATATACAGCAGTTGAATAAAATCTAGCTATTTCGTAAGTAGTAGGCTGTTGGTGATTTATCAATCTAAACGCTGCGAATGATTATAACGAAGAAATATTTAAAAAAGTAGAATGCAATAAATCTATATCGTTATATTCTTAATGTATGCGTTTTAATATTTCTGGTTCTGCTCATTGATTATTAACCTATTAGTTTCGAAATCATCACCATTATATTTTACCGATAAACAGGCTTTCACTTAGTATATTTTTTACGTGGTAGAGCCACCCAGCAATTAAAGCGACCGAGAAGGACTTACAAATACCAGTAAAATTGCAGCTTAATAATAATACTGTGCTTCTACTGAGTGTAGAGATTCAGAGACCCTTTTTAACTGGAAACGAGGCATTCTATATTAGTTCTCAGAGGTGACAACGCATCTGCATTTTGATTCCTAATCGAGGATAAATGTGGATGTCTATGAGCCACAGCAACCGCTTACCATCAGTGGAACGTGTGCTCGTTTGTTACCCTTATTCTATTTAAAAAAAAGTTTCTACTGGACATGAAATCAATTTTCTTGACACTCAAGTCACTCAACAATCAAGAATTAATTATTCACTATCCCATTAGCCTATCCCAAGTGATTATGCTTGCGAGCCATTTCCGAATTTCATTAGAAAAGATGACTGGGTTTAAATACAAAGCATACCACTGAAAAACTTTAGGATACCGTAAGCTCGTAAATCCGATCAAATATTTATATTATTCAAAAGTTGAAGGTAACCCTGAATAGTCGAACACTTACCTCAGTTCTACCGAGTGACCATGGGTGCGATAAAACATCGGCACGTCGAGAATTAAAAAAAAGTAAACGTGACACAATCTGAAACATTTTTTTAATTCAAGAAATAATAATAATAATAATTGTTAAATGAATTATGTAAATAATTGTTAAATAATAATAATTCATCCTTTATCCGCGATGGAACAGGATCCGATGCATTGGCACCCACGATGATGAAGATGGAAAACATCGTTGCTGGTAGTTAACTTTGTTCAGGTAACCGACATACAACATAGTACATTTTACCATTACTACCTCGTTGATCTAGAATTCCTGGGTTCGAATTACAGATAAAAATCAGATATTAGGTTTTTCTGTCCAGATATTCTCCGTAGGAGCCAGAAATCAAGAAGTTTCTGAACCTAATTTATTTCCGGCCGTGTCGGTATGCCGTCCCATCGGATAATGAGAGTGAGGGAATAGAGAGTGCACCTGTGCTTGTGCATACACTTGGGCACTATAATCCTGTCCTGCGCAGATGGCTAGTCTTCGTATAGATGACCGCCTGACCGAAATTCGGTCTGGATGACATTATTATGAATTACCATGCATAATTCTTTCTCCTATTTTCGAGGATCCTACTATAATTATTAATATAACACGAAATTGAACTATGTGGTAAAACAAACGTGCACGTTCTATAATGTCAAATGTATCAGTAAGCTAAAGGTGAAACAAGATCCGGTTTAGCCGCTGGTCGAGAATTAGACGCCGATGGTCATGTATAATGCATTACTTAGCTTTTACACCTATTTCCATTTAGTGGAGTTCAGTTTTTTGTTTCGAGATATCTTGTTTTTGTTAAATAATTCCTAACAGCCGGTCGCTTTAGTTTCGAGATTTTTCTACGGTTTATTTGCTAGATTGACAAATTTTTACACTTGTAAGATTCGATAATGAGATCTGCCCGGGACGACTCACGACCACCATACATAGACGGATGTAAAAAATTCTAGGGTATGTTGTGGTTTTTATACCACTAGCGACACTAGCGACTGTTATCTATCAATGTCGATTTTGATTTAAATATTTCGTTCCCTTAAAAAAATCTAAGTTTTATGGATAAAATATTGCCCACATCACTCTCGATATTGCATGTATATTTACATAAACATATAAACATGTATTTTTGAAGCCCTGTATCCATATCTTGATCCCACTGAGATCACATAATAGAGTTTTGCTGTATGTATAAAGACATTATAAACTATACATATTTGATAATTTTATGAAATTTTTAAAATTGTCCCTTTAAAAAAAATTTTACTTTCATTTTTTTTAAATTGTAACCCTATGTGGCATATTATATTAAAGCCCCATTCAACAGCTTTAAAATGAGACCACTCCCAGGTGTATGTCATCATTGGTTGTCAGTCTATAAGCATCCAAATGTGCCAAAACATGAAATTTTTGATAAAAATTTAAATCTTTAATAATTAATAACATCAAAAATAATTGAACTACATAACTGAAATCTAGTATTTTTTCATAAGTCTATGATATATTGCTGCATTAAAAAATCACGAAAATCTGAGACAACAATTCTGAAAATCTCCCAAAATTGTGTTGAATTGACATGGAATGACCCAGTTATCACTTATCACTCATATCTGGCAATGGAGTTATGCATTGTTCGCATGATGTCGCTGTTTGAAATTTTGTTTGGAGGTCAAATCATCTCAGATTTTAAAGCACGTCGTGTAAAAATGTACAGAATAATCTAAACAAATTAAAAAAATTAAGTGTCTGTTTGTAATGTCGTAATAACATCCTTTTACTAAATGCATATGAAATT